ATATGCTTCTTCTTCTTATTCTTCTTCTTCTTATTATTATTATTATTATTCTTCTTCTTGATGTTGAGCTGTTTATAGGGCTTTCATGGTTGACAACCTTCATGTTGCAAGTTGAAGTATTTGGTATAGAAAAGGGTATATCTACACTGAAAGTTGACCTTGACTTTGACCTTTGGTCAATCTCCTTTATATCTAAAGGCTCCCTAAGTGTTGTAATCGGCTACAATTGGTCAGGGTGACTAAATGGACATGTTGCTATGGACTTTAATCCCTTAAAAACAAGAAATTAAGTTAGGGATATAGTGTCATTTTCAATTTCTTAAAAGCTAAAAGTTAAACACTGTCAAAAATTGCATTCCAAACACATTTAATTCTGTTCATTTGACAAATAGAAATGGTGTGAACATGGTTTTTTTACGAGAACATGGAATATATCTTCAAGAATTTATTTTGTTAATAATAAATAAGTTTACAATCAAGAAAAATTTTCACTATGGATTGACCTTATGAGTATTACTCAGACAAAGCATTATTTCCGCTAGATCATTAATGCTTCTTTTTCACTTGGAGCATCCATACCAAACTCTTTCAAATCATTTGCAATGTCATCTAAACTATATATGGTTGCCACATCTCCATACTCCTTCCTATAATTGGAAGGCTTCCAAAGAAGATAATCAACATTTTTACTTCCTTATCAAAACTATTGCGTCGATCATGAATCCACGTCTTCAAGTGTTAATCGTGAATCCCCTAATCGCAATCTGTATATAGTAAAACAACGTATTTTCATGAGGTTTAGTACCTAAGCTTACGTAAGGCTGTAATGTATATTCATTTTCCCCTATATATATATATATATATATATTATATATATATATATATATATATTATATATTATTATATATATATATATATATATATATTATATGGGAAAAGGGAATATACATTACAGCCCCACCTAAGCTTAGGTACTAAACCTCTTGAAAATACATTGTTTTACTATATAAAGCTTACGGTTAATGGATTCACGATTAATACTTCAAGATGTAAATTCAAGATCGACACAATAGGATTTAGGGTTTAGGGTTTAGGGTTTAGGTTTAGGGTTTAGGGTTTAGGGTTTAAGTTTAGGTTTAGGTTTAGGGTTTAGGGTTTAGGGTTAGGGTATAGGGTTTAAGGTTTAGGGTTTAGGGTTTAGGTCTAGGGTTTAGGGTTTAGGGTTTAGGGTTTAGGTTTAGGTTTAGGGTTAGTAATGTTCACTTGGGTGAAGTAATAAACGATAATGGAGGAAAGAAAACAGAGATGGTAAAACGATAATGAAAGAAATAAATGTTATGGAGGATGATATATTTACCAAGTGAAACCAAACCGAGTATATTTAGCAAGTTAAAACGACATATTTTAGAGGTTTAGTACCTAAGCTTAGGTGGGGCTGTAACGCCCAATTTTTCAAAACAATTTTTCATTTCAAAACATACTTTCCACCACATAAAAATCACAAAATCATAATAAATCTCTGTATCATCACAAAACATGTCCCAAGATCTCATATAAATAAATCCTCTCGTGTGTACGAATCATGTCGGCGCCTTCCCGCGATCCTCACTAGTACCTGAAACACATCACACAACAACTGTAAGCATAAAAGCTTAGTGAGTTCCCCAATATACCACATACAACACATACGCTACTCGGGGCTACAATACGACCCTCCGGTCCGATGTGTCTCAGCGGGACCCTCCAGTCCCGTAGCTCGTTGGACCCTTTGGTCCGGTCATAGCTCGTTGGACCCTTCGGTCCGGTCTGTATCGTTGGACCCTCCGGTCCGGTCTATATCGTTGGACCCTCCGGTCCGGTCTATATCGTTGGACCCTCCGGTCCGGTCTATACAAAACATAGCATACATATAACACAATGCACATACTCTCATACATACACATAGCATAAAAGACCCTCTGGTCTACACATAAATACCACTCCAGGTAATGTATAGTGAGAAGACTCACCTCGGATGTCTCGGATAATATCCCGCCTGTGTATATACTGATCTAGCCTCTGCCTATACACATAACATAACCATCTCAATCAACCATGGCTCTCTAGGCTAGACTAGACTCTCACATGTCCTCTAAGAAGGCAAAAGGCTATTTTACCCTTCAAACAGTCCATAAGTTCCATTGTTGACCAAACCCTAAAAGTCAACAAAAGTCAACGGTCAACTCTTGACCAGACTCGCCGAGTGCACAAATGTGACTCGGCGAGTTCAGTCGTGAACTCGAGTCCTCTATTCCCCCTCTGACTCACTGAGTCATTCCCCCAACTCGGCAAGTCACTCACTGAGTGATTCACGGGAAACCCTAACCCTACTCGCCGAGTCTGCCCTTGGACTCGGCGAGTTCATGTCATGCACAAACTCAATTGAACTCCTGAGGTCAGATCTGTTCCTTAGAACCATAGATCTGACCTTCCCAAGCCTGATAATCACGTAAAGCTTGGATCTTGACTCTCATGTGACGTCTAGGAGGCTTTACTTGGTGATTTAGCCCCAAACACAACAACCTAAGCTCATTGCCTCCATAGCTCAACATAAAGCAAGCTGGAATAAGCTCTTTAGACCACTATGGGTCCAGATCCGAAGTCTCAAAATGAATAGGGGCCATATTCTCACAACTCCTTCCAATAAAAGACGTAAAAGCTCTACATCTATGGATTCCTTCAACAAAACAGATAAAGGGGCGACATAATACCTCAAAGATGAAGTCTTTTGCTCGAAATCCCCAGATGCACAACCTCCTTGGTCCCCTCCAAGCTGGAATCACCTCCTTCTTGTAAGAATCAATCACAAAGATCAAGAAATGGCTCCTTTCCTCTCACAAACGCTCTAGCTCTTTTAGGGTTTCTCTCTGGGGTTTGGTAGCCGCAAGTGACGACCCTAGGGGCCTTTAAATAGGTCCCAAACCCAAGAAATTAGGGTTTCATTAAACAGCGTGGACTCGCCGAGTCCACGTATGGACTCGCCGAGTCCAGTCATTAATCCAGTCCAATAATGCGCGGCTCTACTCGACGAGTCTAAGCGCCTACTCGCCGAATCCCTCTCCAAAACTCAAAAATAATTAGATAAATACAGTACCTAGAAATCCGGATGTTACAGGGCTGTGGGCTGTATATCCTAGATTCCCTATATACATAAATATATAAAATATATAATATACTATATATAATATATATATATAAATATATATATATATATATATAGGGTGTGAGACCCATGTATTACATGAGTTTATTTAAAAAAATTAAATATGAAATTTTAACAATTTGAAAAGTTTGAATTTTAAGAAAAGAAAAAAAAAAAATTTAATTATTAAAATTAATGAGGCTTTAATATGAATACATTACTATATAACAACCTTTCTAATAAATATCTACATATTAAATGTGGAATTTTAATTCTAAAATGAAAAATACAATAAAATGACAAGTGGAAAATAGAAAAATTTAAAAATTATAGAAAATGTCATGTGTCTAAATGAAGGAGAAGAGGACATGTGGCAAAAAGTTTTTTATTTATTTTATATATATATATATATATATATATCTATATATATCTATAATATATAATATCAAGGTTAAGGAATAAGAATATGGTTTTGGGCTTTTGCCAACATTTTAGAATGTTACAAATTGGCCCCTTTTTTAATAACAAAATTAAAAAGTGCGCTTTTATCATATGGGTTTTTTGTTTTTTGACAAGATTTGGAAATGTTATACTTTTGGTCATTCTTAATAACAAATCTTAAAAAGTAAACTTTTATCTCTATGTAGAAAATGGTATTCCTGTTCGTGTTTTGCTTTTATGTATTACTTATGCCAAAAGTAAATTAAAGTTATCTTTAGAAAATGGTCTTAAAACCTTGAGATTTTGTGATGTATTATGGTACCTTTATGTTTATGTATTTTTAAAATATCAGTTATTTGTGAGTAATGGAGCAGTGCGCTTATTATTTGTAGTTATTTGTTCAAAACAGATTAAACTGTTTGTAAGCAAAATTATTATTACGTTTCCAAGCAGTATTCTATATCTAGCATCAAAAGTATAATTCTCAAAAGTGTAGTATTCATTTCAAAGTTATTTTATTTCTAAACGTGTTAGTTATTCTTCTTTCAGTTAATTCTTTTTTGCTTTTGTTGATGATAATATATTTTATTGTTTTGGCTACCTATCCTGTTCATATTACAACATAATTCCTTAAATGAATCAAATGAATTTTTGAATATTTTTTGAACCGAATTGAAGATAACAATGATCATATAGTAATTTTGGATTTTCATGTTTTGCATCGTCTTAAGTATTTTTATTTGAATTATAAATAATTATATTTATATTAATTTATTATTCATTAAATATAATTGCAAAAAGTGACATGCTTGAAAGACTAGTATGTTCTTATTGAGCATAATAGGTTAAATACTTAATATAGAGATCTATAGCATATATGTGTTTTTATGTTCATATATATGTTTTTTTTAACTTAATATGGACCAAATGGGTTAATGGTTAAGACAATAAGCCTGACTTGGTATATATTGAAACGCTAATCTTTTACCTTTTTGCTTTCTTTTTTTCCTTACAACTTGTCTCGCATTTAATTAGTGGAGTTGTGTTTAAGTGGTGAATATTGTAATTGGTTTTTCTGAACATAAGGGCAAGATGATCATGTAGTTTTGTTCAGCCAGTTTATTTAATCCCAAAAAAAAAAAAAAAAAACCATACAAACAAACAAAATAGACATCATTACCCGTTCAACCACTTAACTCAACCACTTAACTGATACACAACTTAATTTATTGGAAAAGGAAAACAACTGTAACAGTTCTAAAGATCAAAACATGTGATAGCTAGTAAGCAAGCATCATACAAGACTCAAGTATATAGATCAGAGTCACGAGCGTTATTCCAAAGTTTTCTTTTTTACAACAACAATAACTTTTAATGATCAAAAATCAACGGAAAGCTTTTGAGCCTTCTTGACAGCAAAAGAACCTCTATCAAGAACCCAATCCTCAATCATGGTCTGAGAATTCACATCTTGATCAGTTGGCACAAAATGGCCAGCCCCCAACACCACCACATGGCTCAAATTATCCCATTTCTGGACATACCCTGCAACAACACCATTCACTCTCCATACATCTTTTTCTGCATCCAAAAACTTCCCAATCCCTTCCCACTTCATCTTCTTCACCCAAGACTCGACAGACACAACCCCATCTCTCAAATCACACTGCCCTTGATACAACAATAACTTAGTGTTCTTAACAACAAACTCCACCATGTACTTCACACTCTTCATCACATCTTCATGCAACGCTGCTCCAACCACATCACTACATTCCTCAAAAACCATCGATTCATTCACTCCTAATGCCTTTTTAACTTCTGGGTTCTTCAAGAACTCTTCTACCCAATCAGAACGATAAGGACTCTGTCTCCTGAAGTCATACAAAGTAGCTAGACCTGTAATGCTTTCCAGAAATCCCAACACAGTGTTTCTTGCATCTGTAGCATCGCTCCAATTACCAGCTTTTGTTAGCTCGATAGCTTTAATTTGCAGTTTCTCCATTTGGGTTTTCTGTTTCTCATTGATCAACCCAAGATTGTAATTATGGAGAGCGTGAGTGGCTACTTGGGTTTCCGGATGAGTTAATCCATTTCCGATGGCCAATCCGTACAAATTAATCCGTTTAGAAGCGGGTAACAGGGGATTGTTTTTGAGAATGTAATACCCAATTGATGGGACATATTTTCCAGAGTAACTCTCACCTGTAATGTAGATTGGACGAGATTTAAACAACGGGTCTAAAGCGATAAACTTTCTGATGGCGATGAATAGATGTCTTGCTACAGCGTGTTGGTCTCTTGGGATTTCTTCGGATGTTGAAGCGATACTAAAACCAGTTCCAATCGGATTATCGAGGAAAAGAAGGCCGAATATCCGGTTCCAAGACCCTGGATTAGGTTCGAGCGTAAGGTGTTGCTTGACAGAAGCTGTCACCCGCCATGGACCGAGTTCGTAGAAGTTTCCGATCATGGAAGAGCAACCTGGTCCTCCTTGAAGCCAAATGACAAGTGGGGTTTCAGAAAGAGAAGCAGTGCTAGAATTCTGGGCTTCATAGAAGGCATAGAATATGGCGGACCCGGTGGTGGAATTGACCGGAAGGTAGCCGGATTTTGTGGGGAGAGCTTCTTTGGGGAGTGTTGACGCCGACGAGTGTGGTTGTAGGTGGTGGAAGAGAGTGAGGAAGAGGAGGAGCTTGAGGGGTGTTGACTCCATTGACGAGAGATGAGTGGGCGGTCTTTAGATCGTTTTGTCATTTTGTAAGGATGATGGTTGCGCAGACGGAGAAAGCACAATACAAAAAGCTTGCGGTCCTTGGTTTTATATACGTTTGTCACTTAAAAAATATATATTTTTTTCTTCTTTTTATCTTCTTTATGAAAAATGTGAATACACTTTAGTTGATTATAACTTTAATTGTTAGGTTAGAAATGTTTTTAGTATTAATTATACAAATATTAACCTGGATTATAGTCCAATAGTCCAATAGTATCTAATGTTTGCCTTTTATTTTTAAGATTGAGGGTTCAAGTTAGTAAAGGTAGGGCTTAGGGCCCCAATTGTAAAGGGCCCCATAAAAATCACGTTTGACTCCCCAAAAAATCAAAAGCGATATCGACTCTTTCAACTACAAGGCACAAGCGAGTGAGTGACGACGATTAAACTTCAGTTCTTCCTTTTCTCCATTCTCGGACTCTGGTTCTCGATTGTAGGCCTTCTCCAATCTCAATTCTTCCACACTAAAAGACTGAATCATTGCTGTTCTTCAGACTTCAGTTCTTCTTCTTCCTTATTCATTCTCGGTTTCTCCATTGCTCAAAAATCATTGATTTGATGATCTGCTATTCTGTTGTCATTGAAACGGTAATGTACTTGTGTTTTCACTTTTCACTTTTGATTTTTCTATCATTTGATTATCTAATTGGGGTTAATAGCCGATTAGGGTTAATCTTTTGATCTTTTCAATTATGTGAATTCTGATGGAATGTACCCATAGAACGATAGAACTTCTCATTCTGTTGAATTGCGGTTTGCTTAGAAAGGGGACACGACTTTTGTAACCAGTTGTAATCTTAATCACTGCTTTTTTGATCAAACAGGCGAGATTTGATTTGAATTTTGTGGTTTGGCCTCATAATTTGGTTTTGTTTTGAACGAGATTCTTGTTTGACATCATGTTATATAATGTCTTCCGATTAAAACACAATGTTTTATTATTAAGTTATGTAATCTGTATTTTAATTGTTTTTGGTTTTATCCAAATGGCATGAATGATCAAAGTTGTTTAATCTTTTCAATTTTCTGATTTTTGATTCCAGATTAGCAGATTCCATTGTTCACTGATTCCAGATTGGCAGATTCCATTGTTTTTGTGTTTTCCATTATCTCAGGGGCGGTATAATCCTAGTCCATATCTTCTATACTTATAATTATTATTAATCAAATAATTAATAATCATGTCAAAGAGAAAATACGAATCAAGTGCTTCAAAAAGGAAACAAAAAATGCAAGAAGAAGCTTTTATAGATAAACAAAAAGGGTTGTTTTTAAAATATTTAACTACAAACAAAAATGTTGATAATGAACAAGAACAAACTAATGTTGATAATGAACAAGAACAAACTAATGTTGATAATAATGATCATGAACCAACTAATATTGAAAATGATAATGAACAAACTAATATTGAAATTGATAACAAATAAACTAATAGTGAAAATGATAACAACAAACTAATATTGAAATTGATAACGAACAAACTAATAGTGAAAATGATAACATGTCTTTAAACATATATGATCCAAGTAGATGAATAATATTAGTACTAATCTAAGAGATTTAATCATAGAAAAAGGTCTTATTAAGATTTATGATTTTAAATTTCCAACAGATCAACATTTAAGGAGTTTTAGTACATCTCTTTATATGCAAAAAATACCAAATGGAGAAAAATACGAACGTACATGGTTGGTTTATTCCATAGAGGTAGATAGAGTTTTTTGTTTTTGTTGTAAATTATTTAATGTGAATACATCTACATTTTCATTAGCACATAAAGGTAACAATGATTGGAACAATATTTCTTGTATACTAAAAAGACATGAAGGAAGTAACGAACACATTCTTAATATGACATCATGGATTGACTTAGAAACTAGATTAGCAAATAATAAAACAATTGACATGCAAATCCAAGAACAAATAAATAAAGAAAAAGAACATTGGAAAAATGTGTTAATAAGAATCATTGTTGTAGTAAACACTTTAGGAAAAAATAATTTAGCATTTCGTGGAACAAATGAAAAGATTTATGAGAAAATAATGATAATTTTTTTAACTATAACTGAAATGATTGCGGAATTTGATCTTATTATGCAAGAACATATTAGGATAATTAATGACAAAGAAATTCATAATCATTATCTTGGACACAATATGCAAAATGATCTTATTAGTTTATTAGGAGAAGAAGTTAAAAGTAAAACTATTAAAAAAGTAAAAGAGGCTAAATACTTTTCAATAATACTTGAATGTACTCCCGATACAAGTCATAAGGAACAAATGGCAATTATCTTACGATGTTTAGATCTTTCAACATCTCCCTTTTAATGTTGTCCCATTTAACATATCTTCCTGGATGATAAGGTTTGGTTGGAATGGAATTATATAACAGGGTTTGTAATTGGCTGTTGAATATGGTTTGAATGCAATCATGTGAACATGGGTGGAATGGCTGGAACGAAATCTTGTGAATGGAATATAATCATATTTGAATAGGGTGGAATCTGATGTTGTACAAGTGACATCAACCTCCATTTTCAACCAAGGTTGCTATTTGTTCTATTGAATCCCAGTTGGGTGTTCCCATTTCAAAAAAAAAAATCAGACATCAGCCCAAAACCTATGGCTGCAGCATCTTTAGGCCAAGTGTATAAAGGTTATTAGATAATAAAATTGTTTTGAAGTTGGGTCTCTCTCTTTTTTATTTATTTATATTTTATGATCATTTTGGTTTTGGTCATGTACTTCATTAAAACTGTTAGTATCTGTTTCATTTTGGCTTAATGGACTTAATGACTCAATCAAAATCCTCTTACAATCTAGAAAAGGAACAAGCTTTATCCAGATAGACATCATTATTTACCTATGTTAAGGGGAAAAAAAGGAGCAAGGGCATACTTAGTTTTCAGTTTTGACCTAGTTTTTTTTAATAAATTACAGGTGGTTCCATTGTTAATGAAAGCTATTGGAAGGCAAGGAGGAAGTATACTAGCCCTTGAGACACTAAAACATGTGGTGGTTGCTGGAAATAGGGCATGGGATGCACTTGTTGCACAAGGTCTTAGGTCAGTAATCATGTCGTGTATCTAAAATCCAATCGTCGCCATCGATCCAAGTCGACCTCGATCTAGATCAAGGTCACCGAGGGTTGTTAGTTTTATAGGAATGTATAACCCATGTTAGCAATGTATTATTTTCGTTTAACATTTAAATGATTATTTGTATGACATATTAAAATTTGTGCAATTTATTTTATTTTTTGTGTATGAAATTTTATTTTATATTATGAGACATTAAATGTGTGATGTAATTTGAAAATTAGTAAATTTACAAAAACTATATATATATATATATTTTAAAACATTTAAACTTTATGACACGCAAAAATATGTGTCGTCTTTCTTTATGACATGGGCTTTAATGATATGCAATGCAAGTCGTAAATGTGCATCGTTTTACGACACACGAATGCGTGTCCTCTTCTTTATGACAGGGTCTTCCTTGACACGCATAACGCGTCGTAGACGCACGTCGTAAATGTGCGTCGTAAGGTTACGACACGCAAATGCGCGTCGTCTTCCTTTATGACAGGGCCTTCCTTGACACGCATTTGCGTGTCGTCTGAGCATTTTACGACACGCATTGCGCGTCGTAAAAGGCTGTTTTTCTAGTAGTGACTCCTTGTGGTTGTCATAGCTTAAATTTAGTAATTTGTGATATGGCTAATTCGTGTGATAAAGCTAGTGAATTTTTTAGAGTTATACAACGTATATATTCGATATTTGCTTCATCAACTCAAAGGTGGAAAATATTACAAGATAATATATCAAACCTAACACTTAAATCATTATCGCAAACTCGTTGGGAAAGTAGAATAGAAAGTGTAAAAGCAATTAGATTTCAAGCACCACAATTAACAAATGCAATTTTACAATAATCCAAAAATTATGGAGATCCAAAAATTAAAAGTGAGACTAAATGTTTAGCTACATATGAACTTGAAAACTATGAATTTTTATTAGGAATGATTATTTGGTATGATGTTTTGTTTGCTATTAATACTGTTAGTAAAAGCTTGCAATCAAATTATATGTGTATCGATGATGCTATAGATTAACTAAATGGACTTTTGTGTTTCTTTGAAGAATATAGAGAAAACGGATTTGAAAAGTTTTTAGATTTTGGAAAAGAATTGGCTTTAGAAATGAACGTAAAACCTGAATTTTATGAAAAACGAATCATCCAAAGAAATAGACGATATGATGAAAATGTTGCTAATGAAACTATTAAAACTCCTCTTCAGTTATTTAAAACTGATTACTTTTTATATATGGTAAATAAAGTCATTACTTCGCTTAAAAGTAGATTTTTGAGCAATTTAACGAGTTCAAAAATATTTTTGGTTTTCTATTTAGTATAGAAAAATTAAAATCATGTGATGAAAATACTTTAAAAGAACATTGTTTAAATCTTGAAAAATCTTTAAAGCATGATGATAGCTTAGATATTGATGGTTTAGATTTATTTCATGAACTAAAACTTTTAAGACATGTTGTACATTTAGAACATAATACAATTATTAATATACTTAATTACATTAAAAAGTTTAGTTCTTTTCCAAATGCATATATTGCTTATAGGATTATGTTAACTATTCCCGTAATCGTTGCCTCTACAGAAAGAAGTTTTTATAAATTAAAATTGTTAAAAAATTATTTAAGATCTACAATGTCACAAGAAAGATTAAATGAATTAGCTATTTTGTCAATTGAAAAACATTTAGTAAAAGAAATTGATTATGAAAATTTCATTAAAGAATTTGCATCTAAAAAGGCTAAAAAAATTAACGTCATGTCTTAAAATATATTCACAAAAAACATATACATAAAAAAAATTAATTCCACCATTTGTAAACTTTTTAGTTTATTATTGTC